TAAATGTCAGAAATGAGTCTAAATGCTTGAAGCGTTTAGGAGCATTTGAGTGCTTAAGTGTTAATGTATTCCATTGGCCAGAATAAATTAATATCCTGGCCAATGGAATCCATTCATGGTCTAATGCTGGATGTGTCTAAATGCATCTAAATGCATGTGCAATACACGGCTTTAGACATGTTTTTTAAGCAGATTTTTTTCCTGGTGTTCAGAGCAGCAAAAACAAAGGTGTGCATGAGGTGTAGTTGGCCAGCTACTGTAATTGTAGAGTTGTCAAGCTGATTTACAAATATCTTGTTAGACAATAGTAGTAATTCTCACTTACAGAAACATTTCTTCATCGTCCTTTACATTGTTTAGTCCTGCTTGTTTGTTTTGTGATCATAATTTTAAACTAAATATTTTCACATTAGTACAGTTGTAAATAACATTTTATTGTCCCTCTAAGCTAAAGTTAAAATAAATTAATGCTTTTACCACCAGTCAGGTCTTTATCTATTAGTTTTAGATTTAAATATACTGGAGTTTGTTTGGATAGGTAACATATATGAAGGTATAATTGCAATAAGTTGGGAAACTGACCCAAAATAATACTATTTGAGTTCACTCTTGAACCAGAATGAGTTACGTTCATTCATTTCTTAAATCTCTTCACTGCTTGTTAATGTTTTCTATAATGACTTTTAATTAAGATTATTTTATTTTTGAATGTTTGTGTGGCCTTTTCCCACCTTATCTAAATATTATTTTGAAGTATGCCCTATCTTAAATCCCTTTGAAATTGGTAAAATCCATAATCTCTGAAATTCTCTTCCTGACAGTTCTATACCTTATCTATTTATATTTCCTTTAACATGTTATTAGGCATTATGTGTAGGTTGTATAGCACTTTGCTAATATCTGTTGATGACACTGGTGATAATAATAATTAGAGATGGGGTTTTTGTCCAAAATTTATATACAGTATTTTCTGGCGTATGAAGACTACTTTTTATACTTAAAAATATACCCCAAAAATTGGGGGTCGTCTTATACGCGGGGTATAAAATGTGAACCTTGAGTTTGTTTGGGTCAAGCTGGCTGGATGTGTGGTAATACTGTACATACAGTATACCGTGCTGAGCCAAGCTGGCTCAAAACAAATGTCCCTATGACAGATTAATCTTTCAGCCCGCTGGATGTGTGGTATATACAGTATACTGCGCTGAGCCAAGCGGTTTCAAAACGTACCGGTACGTCCCTACTGTAATCAGCCCGCTGGATGCGTGTATGTACAGTAGCTGCAGCTACATACAGTATACACTGGGCCAATCACGGCGAGTGATGTATTCTACTAATGAATACAATGCCTGCTCGGATTGGCTGAGTCAGAGAGGTGGGCTGATGATGTCACAACCTCAGCCAATCCGAGCAGGCTTTGTATTCATTAGTAGAATACATCGCTCGCCGTGATTGGCCCAGCGTATACTGTATGTAGCCTCAGCTACTGTACATACACACATCCAGTGGTCTGATTACCATAGGGACGTACCGGTACGTTTTGAAAACTGCTTGGCTCAGTATATTGTATGTACCACACATCCAGCGGGCTGACAGATTAATCTGTCATAGGGACATTTGTTTTGAGCCAGCTTGGCTCAGCGCGGTATACTGTATGTACTGTACATTACTGCACATCCAGCGGGCTGTATATATACTGTATGTAGCTGAAGCTACCGTATTACCGCACATCCAGTGGTAACCATCTGATTTGGAATTTGATCCATATGATGACTGTCTTACAAATGTATCACAAGATGTCATTCATGAACTTATGATGTCAGAGGATGAACATGAGGATTTTGAAGGATTTTAAGTACCAGTAAGTCATAACCATTTCAATTAAAAAATCTGATGTTTTTAAATGGTGTTGCCTCGGAAGGCTTATACGGTGAGTATAGACCAAAACCTATGTTTTAACTGGAAAATTAGGGGGTCGTCTTATAGACCCAGTCGCCTTATACGCCAGAAAATACGGTATTTGTGATTTGTCCAAATGCTGAATTTTCATGAACCTAGACTGGAGCTCCAGGTAGAGGGTCCCTTAATTTATTGCAGTACACTGGGAATTCTGGTCAGGCTCAATACTTTGGCTAATAATGTGTTTTGGCCCAGCTCCCTCAATAAAAAATCAGCTCTCCCAGTGGTCCTCTATCACTGTATTAGAGTTAGTAGTGTGAGAGAGAACTGACAATGATGGCAGGGAGCAGGGACAGACAGACTGACCATTTGGAAACTCGGGCACTGCCCGAGGGCCCAGGGTCAGTTGGGGGCCGAAGAACAAAAGGGGAAAGAACAAAAAGGCCTGGGGGCGCACAGGCCTAGTGCATTACCATAAAAAATGTTTAATAAAAAATAATAAAGTAGGTGTTGTACTCACAAACGACAATATAGTCAAGGCACATCATAAAAGAACAGCTGGATCAACACTGCGCTGTCTGAGTAACAGTCCGCAATAGGGAGTTTAGACATCCAAAAGGCTGACGACGTTTCGAGAGGACTTGCCTCTTCCTCAGAGCCAACTGACCAAATGTCTGCTCCCTCTTTTATATGCTCACTACTAGTTAAAGCAAAGGTCACATGGGCCGTCCTGGACACTCCCCTGTGCAGGTGGAGGAGTCACAGGGGCAATCAACATAGTGTAAGTAAACACGAAAGGTCTATAAAAAAAAAATATATATATATATATATATATATATATATATATACACGCACAAATAAAACCATTGAAACTAGTGACAATCATAAAATCATATGAACCATAAGAAGTGTGCACAGTGGAAAATAAATAAATAAATGGAAAGTTACACATATATAAAAAAATAAAAAATCCTTCCCTGGTGATGCACTGCACTGCTCGCCTTTAAATAAATGGATGGATGGATGAGCAACACTACGAAGCTGCCTAGTGCTCTGCTTGCCATAGACAACCATGGGACATGGATTTAATATAGAGAGTAAATCTGAAACCCAGCAGAGACACTTATTAATTCATAGAGATGCAGCCTACAGGGTGTGTGCTATCATTCTAGTATAGTCATATGATGAGACGTAGGCATGTGTGGCAATGTAGTGCACCATGGATGGATATGCATATGCAATACTATATACAAGAACAAAGGAGATAAATCACTAGTAAAACATAAATGTTGATATAAAACATTACAAAAAACTTCTTAATATGGCTCACAAAGTTTAAATAAAATAAAATTAAATAAGTATTGTTACAATATAGTATAATATCTGGTAAAATAGGTATAGTGTATGGTATATGTGTGTATGCATAGACATGGAAGCATAAGAAATATAAATATATAGGAAAAGAAAAAAAAAAATTTATAATAAAAATAAATAAATAAATAAATAAAATTAATAATTATATGTACAAAAGATGTATATATGTGTTATATATAAGAACTATATAAAAAAAATGTCAAAGGCGCTATGGAACAAGCACTTGCAGGATGAGAAAGCAGTGCTCGAAGAGAGCTCACTGGACAACATGCGTGCGCACATGTGTGTGTAACACATCCACATGAGCAACTGCTTTTTAGTAAAAAACATGTCTATACATACATACATAAACCCACACACACATATGGAAACTGAATGAAAAAATGGGTGACCAATGAATGACCCATAGACACAAGCGCATTGGGAATGCGGTCATACGCAAGCGCCTAAGGGTGACACAATAAATATGAAGTGAGCAACCTAATGTGTAAGGATGCAGGGTAATGGTAGCTATACTGATGATACTATAGTAATCATAGCTGATGAAAATGAATATATCTAAAGCATACATCCGTAGTGGATGGTGTACCCACTATAGGTCACAAGGGAAATGATGGAACTAGTACTAAAGAGGGGGGGGAGAGAGAGGAAAAAAAAAAAAAAAAGGAGGGGGTTTGGGGAGAGAGACAAAAAAGATGAGAGTAGGACTCTAGGGAACATGTGCAGCTCAGCAGAAGGTACCTATGCATAACGGGAGTCAGTGGATGACCCCATGTATCTCAAGATCTTCATTAAGCCCAGTGGGTGAGAGGGAACCCAGAGTGAAGAGTCAGTTGGGGGCCCAATGAGATGCCCCTAGTACCTTTTTCATAGGCTTTTTTGAGTTTGGGTAAGGACACAGGGGCCCCATGATCCCCTATTGCCTGGGGGCCCCATGAGTTGTCAGTCCGCCCATGGCAGGGAGAGAACGTTTAGTGAATATTGGAATGTGCTGGTGTTCAGCCACATAGCTATACAATGCTATCTAGAGTGTTATAATTAGCACTGTATTTCATCATTAATACATTGCAGTTTGTAGTTTGTGGGGCTAGGGAGAATGGATTATTACCCCACATATATATTTACTGTAAATAGACTCATCAGTCCACTTTAGACTAGTGTGAACATTTGCTCTTTGCAGCACTGGACTGCATACATTTAGTTTACAAAGCAGCATAGTGTCAAGTGCATCAAAGCACCCCCCCCCCCCCATCCATTTCTTGGCATAACTGTTAATAAAACTAGGGCATCACCCGTTACCACCATGCCTGGGAGGACTAAAGGGAGGGAGGTTGTTCCCATGCAGCTATCAGCGGGTGTGCAGGTCCAGTATCTACAGGCCAATGCAGTGGGCAGGGCACAACTTCAAGAGGCAGTACATGTCTGCTTTATCTTTTTTGGCAGTGGGCATGTTATACAGTCAGAGCACATGGAGAAGGTGGTGGAATGGCTAACCAAACCTTAAATATTCCAAAAGCAGAGTAGTTTGATGTAATCTACAACTGTAAAAGTGCCCTGTTCTTTCTCCTCATCCACAGCTACATCTATCATTGTTCCTCAAACTGTCATGGTGGAGGCAGAATCATTTAACCACCTCCCGCCCACCCTATAAGGTAATGATGGGCGCAAGGCGGTTCTCTTGTTCAGGGAGGAAGTCATTAGACGTCCTCCCAGTCTAATCGTACATGTGCAGCTCCGGGAGCACGCAGCGCTTTGATTGGTTGTTCACTGTGTCCCTCGGACACAGTGGATCACCAATCGACGGAAAGAGCCGAAGATGTCAGCTTGGTCATGTGATCAGCTGTGTCCAATCACAGCTGATCACATGTAAATAGGGAAATGCCGGTTATCTGCATTTCTCTCCTCAAGAGCTGTCACGCTGACAGCTTGAGAGAAGAGGAGAGCCGGTAATCGGCATTCCTCGGAGGGGACATGTACACTGATCATCAGGACACTGATGATCAGTGTGCCCTGATGATCAGTGTAGCCCCAGCAGTGCCACCTGTCAGTGCCCATCAATGCCAGCTATCATTGCCCATCAATGCCACCTGCCAGTGCCCATCAGTGCCACATCAATGCCACATATCAGTGCCTACCAGTGCCCATCTGAGCTGCCTTTCAGTGTCACCTATCAGTGCCAGTCAGTGCCACCTATCAATGCTGCCAATCATTGCCACCACTATCAATGCCAGTCAGTGCCGCCTATCAGTGCCAGTCAGTGCCGCCTATCAGTGCTGCCTATCAGTGCCATATATGAGTGCTGCCTTTTAGTGCCCATCAGTGATGCCTTTCAATGCCCATCAGCGCCACCTACTAGTGCCTCCTCATCAGTGCCCATCAGTGCCACCTATCAGTGCAGCTTATCAGTGCCCATCACTGCAGCCTCATTAGCGCACATCAATGAAGGAGAAAAATCACTTATAACAAAAACTAAGAAAAAACATTTTGTTTTTTTTAATTTTCAGTTGTTTTTGATTTGTTTATCAAAAAATAAAAAACCCAGAGGTGATTAAATATCACCAAAAAAAAGCTCTATCTGTCTCAAAAAAATTATAAAAATTTCATATGGGTACAGTGTTGCATGACTGCGCAATTGTCATTCAAAGTGTGACAGCGCTGAAAGCTGAAAACTGGCCTGGGCAGGAAGGGGATATAAGTGTCCTGTAGGCAAGTGGTTAAGGCACAGTGTCAGTCACTTCTTGCAGGAGGATGCACCGCAATTATTTCTGAGGAGAGAAATGATAATATAGAAGAAGGGGATCACAGGCAGGGAGAACCAATTGGCGCTAATGTTCATGTAGCTGCAGCTTACTGGCAAGTTAGCTCCAGTAATGAGGAGGTTGAGGATGATAATGAGCTCTCTGTCGATACCTGGGTTCCAGAGATAGTAGAGGAGAAAAATGAGGGTGATACACAACATTAACGAGGAGGATGTCATCCAGGGGAAGGTTGCAGAGGAGTGGAGAAAACAACCACCCTATTTCACAGGATGGCACTGCTCCATAAGTGCAGGCCATTATTGCTCCCTAGTGTGCACCCATACCTCAGAATGTACAGCACTGTAGTCAGTCACTGCAGCCTTTTCTGACAACATATCAAGTGGGATTCATCCATCAGTCATCTGGGTACCACATATATTAAAAGACAAATAACTGCTAACCATAGAGCTCAGTGGAAGAAGCACATGAATGCTGCCATTCAGCAGCAAAAGGCTTGCACTCCTTCTCCCCTTCCTCCTTGCTCCCTTTCCACCTCTCCTCCACTACATAAGATTCCCTCTCTGCAGCCTAAGGCAAGGATGGAAGTATTTTTAGGGGTGTGAGAGGCTTGCTTTATGACATTGGGAAGAGGGTCAAAATAGAGTCACGCAGAGCAGGGGCAAGCATAGGCAACCTCACTCTAAGTTTGCAAACCCAACCTTGCCATATGCAGCTATATCACTGAGTAGACAGGTGTCTCTGTCCTAGCTGCTGAGAACTTTTTTCCATAAAATTACACCAGGCTTAGGAGGAGCTTGAAGATGAGGAAGAGGGTTGCAGTGCTAAGGTTAAGGAGAAGAACAAGCAGCAATCCTCTAAAACATATTGTCCTCAGTGACCCCATGGACTCGGTTTCTCTGCCTCTGGTAATTTGTGGTGGATGGGCTTATTCTTGTTCAAGTGCCTGCAAAAGAACCCCAGGATTTGTGACATCAAAGAGAGGGACTATTGCTAACTGTTCACTATCTTGAATCTATGTTGTAAGGAGAAAATTGAAGTGCTCATCTCGCTCTCACAGAGGGAGAAAAAAATAAAACACCCAAAGGATGTGCTATGGAGAATCTCCTGATCTCCTTTTCAGAGACTAGCAGCATACCTAGATTGTAAGCTCGAAAGAGTAGGGCCCTCGTACCCCTCGTGTATTGTATTGTTACTGTATTGTCTCATGTACTGTCCCCCCACTTTAATGTACAGCGCTGAGCAAACCTTTTGGAGCTATATAAACACTGTATAATAATAATAATAACAATACCTTTTAACAGTCAACATGGTTTAGAGTCCCCTGTTGGTGAAAGGAGAAGCAGCAGTGGTGTGGCTGCCTAAGCGAAGATTTCATGTCAGTCTTCAATGTACAGCAGCCAGAGCTATCTCTCGCCAGCAGCTATAGGCAGCTCCTGAATTACAGTATATGGTGAATGATTGCATGAGGTCAAAGGGGGATGTTGACACTTTCAGAATGAACAACCCCCTTCACTTTTCCATTATGCAACTGAGCTGCTGGAATGCTCTGCAGCTAGTGTGCTTTTCTGAAATATACATTTAGCGCAATGGGGGTTTTATTACAGAAAAAAAGAGTCAGCCTGTATGCAGACACCGGTGACTTGCTCCCTTTTGTAAAAATGAACCAGTACTGGATCACAAATAACTACCAATCCCAAAATACAAATGATTCTAGGCCCAAGAACATTATTATAAAGTACAATCTAAGTATCTCTTACTGCCGTTACCAAATACTGCCTCCATGAGCACACCATGGCACCATTAACACTTCCTTTTACCATTGCCAGTCTGACACCACAAACATTACCTGACACCACAGTATTTTACCAGCATTACCTCTTGCTTTGGCCTCATTCGTTTGGTCTGTTGCCACAGGCTACTGCTACTTTTAATGTGGCAAAGCACATTTGTCCACAGCTGTTTCATAGTTGCATAAAATGCTTCCTTTTCTGGAAGGGTCTATCCTGTGCTGTACATGAATATTTATGTTTGGTTACAGTGCTTCAGCGCAAAAGACACACAGCACCAAATGTTTATGTTTTCATCTTTTTTCCAGATGCAAAAATCATTCTTTTTTTTTTCAGGTTAAATCTTCTGTTGGCCAATAATGTTTGCTTTGCAGTAAAATTACAACATAATGGTTCTGCATGCTGCTCCTTAGTGGGCACTTTTAGCTTTGATTCAAGCTAAATCATGCTTTTTGTTTTGATATTTAGAGCCCATTGCAGTTCACTAGCTCAATCAAGAATTTTTGCGCATACAGTTTCTTTAAAATCATATAACTGTGATTACTTAACTACTTGCCCTTCAGAAGATTTACCCCTCTTCATGACTAGGCCATTTTTTTGCTGTTCGACGCTGAGCTATTTCAAATTGTATTTGTGCGGTCGTGCAATTCTTTACCCAAATAAAATGTATGTCCTTTTTTCACATAAATAGAGCTTTCTTTCAGTGGTATTTGATCACCTCTGCCTTTTTTACTTTTTGTGCTTTAAACAAAAAAAGACCGAACATTTTGAAAAAAAAAACACAATATTTTTCATTTTTAGTTATAAAAAATATCCAATAAACTCAAAGTTAGTCATAAATTTAGACCAAAATGTATTCCGCTGCATGTCTTTAAAAAATCCCAATACATGTATATTAATTGGTTTGTGTGAAAGTTATAGCCTCTACAAACTATGGTATATATATATTGGAATTTATGCAGCTTTTACTTTCTGACTGCCTATCACATTGAGGTGCTAAAATGCCAGGGCAGTACAACCCCCCTCCTAAATGACCCCTTTTTGGAACATAGACACCACAAGAATTTTGTAGAGAGGCATGTTGAGTCCATGGAACATTTTATTTTGGTCACAAATGTTTTGAAAATGACAATTTTTTTTCTTTACACAAAGTTGTCAGTTAAATTATTTATTGCACATGTATGCCATGGGTATATGTAGAATAACACCCAAAAACACATTCTTCTACTTCTCCCAAGTATGGGGAGAGACATTTTTGGCAGCCTAGCTACATACAGGCCCCCCAAATCCAATGACCACCTCCAGGGTTTAAATGGGCATATTCCCTCATATCACTTCCTCACTACCGATCACAGTTTCGGAGGCCGTAAAATGCCAGGATAGTACAAACACCACCCCAAATGACCCCTTTTTGGAAATTAGACACCCCAAAAAATTTGCTAAGAGGCATGGTGAGTATTTTACAGATATCATTTTTGTCACAGGGTTTTGAAAATGAAAAAATAAATTTTCATTTTCTTTCTTCGTTTTACAAAAACGTGGCAAGAAATTAATCTGCAAAATACTCACCATGCCTCTGCAAAATACTCACCATGCCTCTTAGAAAATACCTTGGAGTGTCTACTTTCCTAAAAGGAGTAATTTGGAGGGGGGGCTTCTACTACCCTGGCATTTCAGGGTCCACATTGGAAGGTTATGCCACATACCACCCACTCTTGAAGACCAAGCCTTTTCCGACATTTTTTTTATGTGAAAAAACTGGGGTTTTTTGCTAGAATGTTATTATGAACCCCCAAACATTATATTTTTTTTTAAAGCAGAGGCCCTAGAGAATAAAATGGTGGGTGTTTATTTTTTATGTCACACAGTATTTGTGCAGTGATTTTTCAAAAGCAAATCTTTTGAGAAAAATACACTTTTTAGAATTTTAATGCACAAAAACACAATATACTGCCCAATTGTTTGATAAAATATAAAAAGATGATGTTACGCTGAGTAAATGGATACCAAACATGACATGATATAAAATTGTGCATGCCCATGCAATGGCAACAAAGTACATACATTTTTTCATATCGATAGGCAATGCTTTAAAAGCCTTTACAGGTCAGGAATTTATATTTACATAAGAGATCTAGTCCTAGAATTACTGCCCTTGATCTGACGTTCGCAGCGATACCTCACATGCATGGTGAAATCTCTGTTTACATACTGACACGGGACCAACGCTTGGGTTCACCTTTGCACAGGAGCATGGGAAGGGGGGAGGGGCAGGGCTGATCTTTTTTTCAACTTTGATTTTTTTTTTTTTTTACACTGTCCCTTTTTTTTTATCACTTTATTTGTTTTCGCAGGAAAACTATTATAGAGTCTATTAGACTCTATAAATCTCCTCTGCCCTTAAAGCATCTGATCACACCAAGATCAGTGTGATCAGATGCTTTCCCAATTTAAAAATGGAGCTGTCAGGAAAAGACTCACCGCTGGTGGTGCTGGGGCTCACCTGCTGTGTGGGCTGCAGTACCGGTGCTTGCCAGCGGGTGCTTTCAGCAGCCAGGATCTCACTCCTGCAATTAAGCCATCACCTGAGGCTGATTGCAGGAGGTGTATTTAAGCAGTACCAGGCCTGCAATCAGTG